AGTTATTCATCAACTCCAAACAAGTTCCTTTGCGCCAGTGCTTAGTTGTACCGTCTGTGGGGATTGGAGAAGTCATCTAAAATGCACGTGCTTGTCTCGGAGTCAACAAATCCGAGTACGTTATTTCAAAGCAATTTATTCATCATATGACGCGTCAAAGACTGTATGATTAATCTCTTAGTTAAAACATGAAATGTTTTACTCCCTTTTGTAGCAAAAAAATGTGATGTGTCTTTATTATATCACAATTTTACTAAGAATATACATAGTTATATTTATTTTAGTTTATGTTTGTTTTTTAAAGGATGTTTCAAATATGCTTTGAAATTATTCAACAACAATTTAATATAGATTGTTAGAAATAAATATAATCAGATTGCAGCCTTGACTGATACCAGCGTCGTTTATCTTAGATCTTATTATAACTTTGCGACTACAGTTTAATACTTAAGAGGAAATCATGGCATAATCAGCAATAATTTTAGATGAAAGTTTACAATACTCACAACTAACATTTTGGTAACGATGAACAAAAGTTATAAAGATAGTAAGATATAAGAGTAAATTAAAAAGTCATACCCACGGTACTTGTATAATATTAGTCTTGGCCGAACAATATTTAAACATTACGGATTTTGTGATGTACATCATTTCTGTGCTTTATCAATTCACTCTTTGCGCTAATAACATAATCATATGTTGGCATGTCGTAATTAAACAGGCGTTGATGAAAACAAAGAAAGGTTATGGACAGCATCGTCAATGTCTAGATCAGGGGTGGCCAACTTGGTTAGACCCAAGATCTACTGTTCATACCCTGTGCGATCTACCAATTACATTACTTATTGAAATCTTAAATGAAACAGCGTAGTTAAGTATACAGTGATGTATTATTTTTTTATCTTACTTAGAGGGAAAATATAAAACTGAAAATTATCCTCAGTAACTATTTATTTATATTATTGTAGTAGTGTGAGCATTGCGTTTGGGAATCTTTCGCTAGATTAGCACAATCAGGTTTTTAGTTAGTAATTGCCAAACTTAGGAATCTAATGTATGAGCGTCTGTCAAGCGAGAACGGTGTTTATTTTTTGTTTCTTTTAAGCAGACTCACATAAATATGAAAGTATATCCGTACCATTATCTAATGAATAAAAATTCATTAGATAATGGTACGGAACCCTTCGTGCGCGAGTCCGACTCGCACTTGGCCAGTTTTTTCCATTTGCCAGTGTCAATATTCCACAGAATAATGCGAGTGTCTTCAAGAACAGATTGAACAGGATTTTACTGCGTCAGAGCGGCCAGCACCGAAGACCTAACTATTTAACATCAAGTGGGATGATGTTAAAGCACTGGCCAGTTATTAAGTGATAAGAATCCAAGGGTCTACACACGCTCGACAGGGTTTTCTTCTATAAGATACCTTTGTTTACCGCGTTAAGTTCGAAAGTCATTACAGTTTGTACAAAAACATTTGCGTTACGTAACCATAGGAGTATATTTTGAATATTATGATTAAAAAAAAAGAAACAAACTCGAAGTTCGCAATTTTAAAGCTCTCTTTTTTCAAACACATCCCAGGTACAGGTTTTCGAGGTGCGTCAAAGGATTTGGCACACATTTTTTTTACGCGCTGGAATCTCAAAACGCAGCGACAGCTACGAGATAGACATGAATCCGCATTTCATTTTTTTAAATAAAATAGCAACGTAAAATACTCGTATAACATTTTTCCCGCTTCAAAAAAGTCGGAGTTTCCAACTAGATTGTATTTTTTAAGTTTCCTATTTCGGACCTCGATTTTAAAAATTCTTTTTGCATCGGGTTCGTTGTAACACCCAATCCTATTTCAATTTCATTGGTATTGGACTTTGTATTCCAGAGATACATCGGGAATCGTCTCCAAAACAAATATGACGATGAAATATTCGATAACTCCGTGGCGCTGTTGCAAAGTATTGACTTCGGCTTTAGGGGTCGAGGGTTCGATTCCCACATGAGACAACTATTTGTGCGACTCTCAGTTGTTTCGCATCTGGATTTTTGTCCATGTGAAATGTTTGTAAAACGTCCTTACAACACAGGATAATGTTATCCGAAAGTGAGGGCAAAGTAAAAACAAAAAATAAAAAAAATGTGTAGTGTGTTAAATATTTGTAGTCGGTTGAGTTCTTTTTGTTAGAAATCTTTACTTTTTATTTTTATTATAAACAGAAGACTAGATGTGGTGGTGATTTGCATAACTTTAATAAATTATGGCCGCCCATAGAGATCCGTAATACCAGGGGGCTCGCAGAAGCGTTTTCTCACTATACATCACTCACCAAGCGAAGTTCAAAATTGACTTCATTTGGCATTTTGTTATGGTTAGCTTTTTGAACATGTAATGTCTGTCCCAACACAAATACCTACAGTTCCAGTAACCGACGCTTTACTAATTATTATTTTTTATTTCCGACCTTAAGAGGAATCGAAACAATGTGAAACAATAAATGTGTACTATTTATCATAATATTTAGATTCTTTGAAAACATGAAATTATTAAGTAGATTTAATCGCCATGATTATTAACTATTTTAGGTATTATTAACCATTTTCTGGGATTATACACTCGTTATTTATTTGCACAATGGTAGCAGATTTACTAATGGGACTTTAGTATTTGGTACACAACAGACTAGCATGTTTTTTTGTGTAAATCGAAAACCGTCGTTTTTAAATAATTTTTATAAAAGAGCAGTTATGTAAAAACTGTTATTGACGACGTAATATATGAAACTTTACAATAGAGGTATTTTTAGGCTATTTTACCGTTCGTTTATTATCAAAAAACCGATGTTTATAAAACTTACATTGTGCCTGCTTGGATAAAAAAGAAAATAACTTTTTTTATTTTTATGGTGATTGAAAATATGTTACAGAATTCGTCTTACCTGAATCCATTTTTAGAGTTCCGTGCCCAAAGGGTAAAACGGGAGGGACCCTATTACTAAGACTCCGCTGTCCGTCTGTCCGTCCGTCTGTCACCAGGCTGCATCTCATGAACCATAATAGTTCGACAGTTGAAATTTTCACAGATGATGTATTTCTGTTGCCGCTATAATAACAAATACTAAAAAATAAAACAAAAAACATTTAAGTGGGACCCCGCAACAGACATGATTTTGTTTGCCGTTTTTATAGATAATGGTACGGAACCCTTTATGTGCGAGTCCGACTCGCGCTTGGCCGGTTTTTTAACTACTGCTTATTCATGCAATTGTTCTTAAAGATAAATCGGATATTTTTAATTATTATTATAGTCACCCGATTATCTCTATTAACATCTTTATATTTTAATCATCATCTAAAAATCATCTAAATATATACTTAAGTTTTTAGATTTTGAACTCCAATTGCATAATTTAGAAATTAAATGAGTCATCACACAGCGCGTAGGGCACGCCACCTATCTTGCAATTGCGAAGAGACGGCATCGAAAGCGGGGAAGGTGTCTAGACGTAGCAATATTATAGAGGGGTGCGGAAACGCGAAGGGGTGTGTCACCCCAGTTACGGCACCGTCGTCAGGGATTCGTAATAAGCGTAATACCGGCTTTTGTTTCAACGTCGGCTCGAATTATTGAGAAATAACAGCTTCAGTGCAACCGGCGCGTAAAGCTTAGTGAACTGGGAAATTAACAGCTTGAACAAGATATGTTCTCATTCAAAAAAAGCTTTTCCTTAAAAAAACTTTCCGCTTATATCCGTAACACAAAACACCGATTGGCTTTTCTATGTGAAAATTTTAACCGAGTGGTTCACCTGATCTTGAATTTTTACCGCCGACCATGGGCATCTGCAAAACCTGAGGGGTTGTAAATGCGTTGACTCACGAGAAGATACGCAAAACTTTAATACTTCCACTTCACACCTCTCTTCTGTGTGGCGGTGGTACTTCTCCGGAAGTGCCTGCCCATTCCTGCAACATTAGAAGCTTTTTTTTTTCTATGTAAAGTTGCCAAGCGAGCAGACAGTTCACCTGGTGTTAAGTGAATACCACCGCCCATGGACATCTGCTACACCCAAGGGTTCCAGATGCGTTGGCAACCTTGTGAAAATCGGGCTCCGGCCACCTTGCACACCACGAAACGCGAAAGTATTATACTTCCACTTTACGCCGGTCTTCTGTGAGGTCGTACCCGGACGAGCCTGGCCATTCGAGCAACAACCGAGCCTGCTGCGTGGCCCTATCGCAGTTGGTAGACAAAATAAAGTATAACTATAGTTTATGCTGATATTCTTTTTCTACGCTAATTCTATCCTTGATTTAGTCTATTGTAGTAAAGCTGCTCCGTGGTTCTGCCACAGTAAAGACATCCATTAAACCTTAAATCCAAAAATTGCTTATTTCATTTTATAACCATTCCTAGTATTTTAGACTTTTCTCTTAAAACTTAAATGCATTAACTCCGATAAGATCCAGTACAGGAAGAAGTGACATATAAAATACTTAAAAATACCCGCTGCAGTGGGAATAAAACGACGACATGCTACGCAAAATCTAATCGGACGTAATGTATGTTTGCAACACAAGTAAGGGTCGCTTTATTGTTTAAAACCCTACCACTGTCTGGGTGGTTAAATTATTGAACCTCCATTTGTGATCTGAAATTAGATACATTTTCATATCATGATTTTTGAATTTTTTTATATTTATTTAATATTTTTAATATTTTTATTTTTTACTTGCAACAAACTTTGTTCTAAGAGATTGTCGAACTGCAAGTCTTGAACTCAGGTCCATTTATGCGTCCCCTGCGGTTATATAGTTATACTATATGCTGTACTGAAAAATCTCGCTATGTAAGGCTATGTATATGCGGATCGAATGCGGTATCCACCACAGAAATTGTTAGAGTTAAACATTTAACGCTATTATTTAACGAATACAACATCATATTAAACATTGTTATTTAACGAAATTTGCGTGATGACTTGAATACCCTCTGATTGCAGGACGTGGCGTTCATAAACCCGGCGAACGTCGTCTTCGTGTACATGCTGGTCCGTGAGCTGGTGGACGGCGAGAGGATAGCCCGCCCCCAGGAGCTGCAGGCGGTCGTGCTCACCTGCCTCTACCTGTCCTACTCCTACATGGGCAACGAGATCTCGTACCCGCTCAAGCCGTTCCTGGTGGAGGACTCCAAGGACAAGTTCTGGGACCGGTGCCTGTTGATCGTAGACCGGCTTTCCTTCAACATGCTGAGGATTAACTCGGAGCCTGGATTTTTCACTGAAGTGTTCACGGAGCTTAAGGCGTGCGGGGTGGTGGAGAGCCCGCCTCCCGCGCCCCCGCACCCCGCCCCTCCGCCCCCCCTCCCCTTGTCGGCCGCCTGACACACCGAGGTCGCCGTACTGAGGCTGGCTCTGACCGACCGCCCCAGTCGCGTCTGATGCCGGCTTTTGACCGGCGACGGACTTTGCCAGTCGCATTAGAACTATCGGTAGCTCTGGGCACCCCTTCCTTATACTGCTACGCATTATGACCGCTCAGATCGAACGAAAAGTTGGAGTTTGGTATGGTTCTGCTTTAGTTACTAACGGAGATCCGTTCAACTATCATTTCTTCTTAATATTTTTAAAGTAATGATTAATGTATGAAATTACGTCATTGAAAAAATTTGTTGACGAAAGTAGAAGCCCAGTTATTACATATAAGTTCGCTTTTGAACATGACTGTGGTGACGTAGGTTTTTATTATTTTTGCCGTGCCCGATAAAGAGACTTAATACTTGGCTGAATTCTTGGCTTAACCAAGTTTTGGTAAAAGCTCACAAAGTCACTAATTCATCCCAATCTCTGACCGTTCTACTGGGTTCGTTCAGTTACTTTGTTTAGACTTTTATGACTACAACTTAAAGCGTTTTACCTTAAATCTGAGGTGAAGCAACGTGTAGTTTTAAACATGCAGTACAGGACATCTCCACTGAAGCATTTTTTGTATTTTCCATAAAAAAATTTGATATCTTCATATTAATTTTGTGTGGTTTTGGATTAACACGATGACCCAACGAAAGCTTAGAGTTATCACTATCCACGACTGACCAAGTCCGTTCAAGGGTCAAAAGAACAAAGAGAGCCAGAGGGGTGGTTCAAACACCCGTTGGAGGTAGAGCTTGCGTTCACGTTCGAATTATTTTTTATAAACGCGGTGCGCATTTTTGGACGCAACGTTATTGATAACAATTGTAAATTCGGTAGACATTTGCGCAGCGTGTGAATTTGCTAGAAGCTCAAGATCATAATTAAGGGTGACGTTACAGTTTCTGGCAATGACATTATATAAAAATACGCGGTAGGTATGTCCCTAGCGCAACGAAATTGAGACACACAAATTAAGCCATTTGGTGTGATTAGTATCTTTCCGTATATGTAATGTACGTACGTACGTCTATACGTCATATAATGTAAAGCGGAACAATTTTTAAACGACGCGCATATGGACATGCGTCATCATTATTAAAACATCATCGGTTTCCGGTGCATTTTGTAACGAGAATAGGTCTGTGATTATTTACAGGTGATTCTTGCTATCAACGTTCAACACTCATAAAACTATGGTATGTTTAACACAGACTCTGTGTAAATACGTCCTTATGATAATTGCAATAGTGATTCGACTATGCAAGGAACCGTTTGTTCATACAATAGGAACGTTTTGAGATGCAGTTGCATTGTTTTTCCAGTTACGTATTAGTATTAAGGCCCATTTACACGGTGCCAGTTTCTTGCCTGTTGTATACAATTAAATTGAAGCAATAAATGAGTTGCATGGTCTAAACAACAAATGGTCTTAACAATTATTGCGCGCAATTTATTGCATTCAATTATTGCTCTTGTATGTACAAGAAAATGGCATCGTGTAAATGGGCCTTTAATCTTGCACTGATATCACTGGAAATATTGGCTATACGGGTAATATTCACTGTACAGAGACCGCCACACTTCTGAAATATTCGCGTATATTCTGATTGCACGCTGCGCAAATTTGTACTCGCCAATCGCCATAAGCTACAGCGGTCAAAGTGCATCGCAAGCTGATTTGGGGTTATAAGGTATCGAGGTAAAGGATGGTCCACGTAAGGAAATCTCCTATAGAGGTTATTATACGCGGAATGATACGAAAATAAGTGTAAAAAGAGGGTCTTTTATACTTATATGTAAGCATTACTTTTCACGGTAAAAACTTATTACCACATACAATAAAAGTAACGAAATAAATATTTTTTTTTGTACTCATTCTCTGATATAATGCAATAACAATATCAAAACGATAACAAATATTGTGAAAATTTTCTTTCGGCCTGATAAAATAATGCCACCTAACATTTTTGCTCATATCAACGTTATAGTTTTTGATGGACCTTTGGTGGTTTTGGATAGAAAAATACTCATGGATTTGAAATAAAATTTGTTATGGCTATGGAAGGAGTAGTAGGTAAAATGAATTAAGAGTTACGCCGTAAAGAAAAAAAAATTTAGTAAAGTGTTCGAAGTGTTACAATATTAAGTAAATAATAATCTACTCATGGCATGTTTAGATATATTTAATAGCATATTACGATTTCAGATTATAATATCTCTATAAAATTGCCTTACCGATCTGTTGGAGATTCGATAGGAAAGTGCAACATTCAACTCGTGGTCAAAAGAACACGTTAAATTAGTGATGCATTTTATTTATATGTAACGTTTGCGTAGGTAATTGTCTGGTAATGTTAATTATTTTATTAGGGCCCATGCACTTAAATATATGTAAGATTGAATAATAAATTGGTACCATAGAAACGATTTACGCGTAAGCTCACTTGCAAGTTAATATCGCTTAAGTTCCATGATATTAAAAATCGGCAATTTGGGAGAAACGAAAAGCGTGTAAAAAGTTTGGTAAACGGTTTTAAAGTATTGAGTAACAGGCGTGGATAACATTCATTTATAACGTTAACTATATATTGCAGGAAATGTTATGTTCGAAAAATTTTGATCGAGGAGAGATGTGGCTGTAGGAGGGGAGAGCGCTGACGTATTAAACCCTTGGCAATCGATCGATGTCCGCGCCTGGACCATGTTACTTTAAAATGGATTAAATTGCAAATGGCGTCGACACAAAGATCAGTGGACACAGGCCATGAACTGTTGTCAAATGCAGTATGTTAGTCCAATAGAACAGTGGTTAGATACTAAGCTAAGGTTTCGTATTTGTAGTGAAATCGTATTGCCATATAGTTAGTTGATATTAGCAAAATGTCTGGCAGGCGGGAGGATGCAATATTGTGACCCTGTCTGTACTTCGGTTTACCCTTCTACGATGTGTACGTATAAAAATTTAGCCAGCTCAAAGCGGGGCGATATATCTGGCACGGGATGTTTATTAAAAATAGGTCAAATTTCGTGAACGAATAAACGTTTTGTACAGAAATAACGATAAATAACAATAGATATACGTTTTAAGTCTTAAAAAATAGCCTAGTCTAGTCAAATGGATCGCAGGTATTAAGCATACCCGATGGCGCTCGGTCTTTTTTCATTAATATCATATTTTTTATGTTTTAGCAGTAAAACTTGAAGTGAGAATTTTTCATGATCATTGCCGATGTTATTTAGTTTTTAAAAGGATATCGAGGATTCATGTTTTTACTTTCTGTTTATATGCCAACAAAGTATGATCTACGTAATCTTAAGAATAAATTAAGTTAGTTATTTGCTTTCGGTTGTCATCCCCTTTAAATATTCAACATATGTAGCACGATTACGTCGTATGACTTTTTATTACTATTAATTTAAAGTATTAACATTTTGTTCAAATCTCGTTTATTGTAACTTTCTAGTCACCGAGTGCCGTAGTCAAGATAAAAATGTTAGTAAAGTAATATCGTATGTTTAATTATTGTGAATCTCAAAACTACAACCAACTCATTGAATATAAGGTAGAAGTAGAGATCTGTGATGTTTATTATATTTTACTGTGTTGCCAAGTTTTAGTTATTTTTTTTGCTAAGTGTTTTGTTATTTAGTAGCCAATAAATAGATATTTCCAAGATCTCATATAAAATATTTATAAATTATTTTTAATGTCCGTCAAATTAAGATCGATTTGTAATTTGTTACGTTTAGAAAATGTAATATGCTGTAATATCGGGTGGTAAAATGCATAATAACTGAATTTTAAAGTTGATGAAATGAAATATGAAGGTACTAAGGGACTAGCAGCATAGCAAAAAGTTTTATGCCGTATATCTAAAAAGCTATATTTTTTTGTGTTTTGATGATTTTGTCGGCTTGAATAGCAAGAGAATAAACGAGGAATAGAAAAAGGATTAAGATCATCATTTCAGTATGTATGTATCATCTATAGTTGTCATAATGTAACGTAACAACTTATAAATTGAAATTATTGTACTTTTAAAAAAAAATATATAATTCACGGCAAACTATATATTTACATTAAACTAACAAAACTTCGATGCCGTCTTGAAAAATAACGATAATATACTTGCACGTATGTGTGTACGTATTTTGTATCTTGAGGTCCGGAATTTTCTATTTGCAATAAAAAAATATTATATTAAAGTTTTGTTGCCCTTCTTACTTTCTGAATTGGATGTAATAGTCTTCTAAATATCCCTAAGATAGTCATGTACATTCCAATTAATAATTTAAGGCAATCGAATCCCAACTGTCTCTGGTGTTTGATAAACTTTCTAAGCTATTTAACAATCGGAATGTGTGAAAGTGTATTAGTTTACGACGATATTGCTGTTCAAGTATGTACCTCTATCATTATTCATTCTCACGATTGTTAATTAACCGATTGTAAATATACCTTATTATTATTAAAAAACTTTCGTATGATAAATTTTGTTGTTTAATTATCACCCATCATATACTTTGAACAGTTTTTTAACAGAGAAATTAAAAAAAAAACGATAAAAATGTTTCTAAAATTGTATTATTATTATCTATTATTGATCAATAGTCTATAATAGTACGAGATCCGACTGCAGGATTAGTGCGCGCTTCGGTTATTTGTTAAAATCCAAATTTTTATGTATATTTATAATTAGGGGAATATATATCTACCAGGTTGCCTTACAAAATTTGGCCGCTAGTATTTATAATTAAACTATTTTTAATTGATTTTTGGGACAAAATTTCGTTTGCTTGTTTTTTAAATAAAATATCGTCTACATCACGGCAATTCACATAGAGATTCTAAAAAATCACGGTTGCCGTTGCGCACCTGGCCGCACCTCACCAGGTATGATTTCGACACATTTATACATTATACAGAGCCGTGATAGCTCAGTGTCCGGGCGCTCGCCTTTATTTCAATA